TAAATGACAGTAATGAGGATTAATGCCCCACAAAAAGGCACTAATATAGCACATCGACACGGTTTTGATCCTGGGGCCTCACAGTTACGAGGCCATTGTTTTTGTCACTGAACCATGAGCGGTATGCAGCGGGGGCTAGGGTAGGGGGCAGTTTCCATAAATAAACTAAAAAACAGAAAATGCAATAAATTTTCAATAATTTATTGCATTTTACCCCGGTCCCCAACATAAACAAATCCTCTGGACGGCCATGCATTATGGCTCAAGGCATGGGCACACAGAATTTTGAATAAATCCATCAATTCCTGATGAAACCGTATGAGCGAGAATTCAATTTATTCTTGTATCATATACGGTTGTCTCATTTACTTCGTTTTCTATTTAAATGTATTAAGAAAATGAGATAGCAAAATGTGTATATCGATGGTCATCTTGCGAGTAATTAACCATTAAATACTCTCATCTGGCTCTCATCATTAATTTTTCTCTTCATTTTTTGTTGTTGTGATGGTGAAATATGGGGGGGGGGGATGATTGTACAGGCCATCCCCCCACCTGACATATTGGGGGGATATATCCCCCCCCCCCCGGATCGACACCCATGGTTCAAGGATATCTTTATAACGTACATTATTGATTGATAGTAAATTCTCTTTCAAGTCTTCAATTTCTTTTTCTAACTTTTCTATTTTTTTCCTTCCTTTCCCTTGCCATTTTCTTTGAAAATTTAGTTGTAAACCTGTGTATTTCCATTTTGATATAGTCCCATAATACTCTTTGTCTTTTATCTCAGATAACATTTTGTTCTTTAAAGTCTGTATTTCTTCCTTCATCTTTAAAACATAGTCTCTATCATTTACCAAGCTATTATTGAACTTCCAATAACCTCTTTTACCCTGAAATTTTCCAGACGTTTTATCATGCAGAACCAAATTAACAGCTGAATGGTCAGGTGCTAAGGAGGGAATAATGGCACATTTCTGTTCTAAATTCTCTGATATAATGAAATAATCCAAACAGCTTTGCATAAATGGATTCCCTTGTCTATATGTACATGTATATTGTTGTTTATCTTTATTTCTCCATACATCTCTTAATTTAAATTCATCCATGAATTCTTCTAATTTGCTACTGAATTTTGATTGCTTCTTTGAAACTTGTCCAAAATAAACTAAGTTCTTGTCTCTAATAACATTAAAATCACCTCCAAGAACTACTGGGTTCCCTTCTGGATTGTTTCTATAGAACAATCTCAAACTTTGGGCAGTGAATCGTTTTCATGCAAAAAGTACACCTTCTAGTCTGACTTCGGTTCTGCGGACTTTCAAAGTTTCCCATTTTAGATTTTCCAGCATCTTTGTAACACTCGATTCCCTGTCATAGTCCCTCGTTGTGAATGTCTAGTTTGTCCTGGTCTGACTTATGCTGTGGGTCCCATATACTGTACATGTAGCTGCATAGAACTCTATTTGGGCCTACCGGTACATGTAATTTAATAAAGTTTGGTCAATATGTGTGGCCCAACCGAGTCCCTTTAAATTCAGGTAGGGGTGGTGTTGCACTTCTTCCAGGGTGACATTACCCAACCTGTACTTGGTTTGAACTGGTTTCTTTTTATGGGTTATTTAATTTGAAAACTGGCTAAAAAGTTTTCTATTGATTCTCAACATTTCAAACATTACTGTTCAAAACTCAATTGATTTCACTAAAATTTGGTACTTTAGTGACAATTTATGACACTTTAATAGCAGTAAAATACAATTTTTGTCTCACCTGCGTAGCAAAAAAAAAAAAAAAAAAAATAGGCGCCGCTTTTCCGGTGACCTCGGCGACGGCGTCAACATCAAAAACTGAACCTAAGGTTAAAGGTACTATGTCCCATTTGCAGGCCAAAAAAAATGAAAAAGTTAAATTCCAACTGTATTTGAAAGATAATAGGGGGTTTTCGTTGTCACGTTGACATAGTCAACGTCTAATATGTGACGTCATTTCCGCGATCTGCGCATGCGTCGGGTCGTCTGGCGTCGTCAGGCCACATTTGCGAACCCGTTCATCGATGATTTGAGGTTCGTCAGAAAACTAGTGACCCGTCGTCAGAATGACGTCATCTTGCTACATCGCAGCGTAAATCAGAAAGTAAAAACAGAAAGAGAAATTGATAGAATGATTAAAAAACAAAGAATAACATAAGGAAAGACAGAAAAAAAAGTGTGATAGAATGATAAAAACAAAGAATAACATAAGAGAAGATGATAGAAGGAAAAAACAAAGAATAACATAAGGAAAGACAGAAAGAAAAGGTGAAAGAAGGAAAAAACAAAGAATAACATAAGGAAAGACAGAAAGAGAAGGTGACAGAAGGAAAAACAAAGAATAACATTAGAGAAGATGAAAGAAGGAAGAAACGAAAAATAACATAAGGAAAGACAGAAAGAGAAGATGAAAGAAGGGAAAACCAAAGAATAACATAAGGAAAGACAGAAAGAGAAGGTGAAAGAAGGAAAAAACAAAGAATAACATAAGGAAAGACAGAAAGAGAAGGTGAAAGAAGGGAAAAAACAAAGAATAACATAAGGAAAGACTGAAGAGAAAGTGAAAGAAGAAAAAAACAAAGAATAACATAAGGAAAGACAGAAAGAGAAGGTGAAAGAAGGAAAAAACAAAGAATAACATAAGGAAAGACAGAAAGAGAAGGTGAAAGAAGGAAAAAAAACAAAGAATAACATAAGGAAAGACAGAAAGAGAAGGTGAAAGAAGGAAAAAAAACAAAGAATAACATAAGGAAAGACAGAAAGAGAAGGTGAAAGAAGGGAAAAAACAAAGAATAACATAAGGAAAGACTGAAGAGAAAGTGAAAGAAGGCAAAAACAAAGAATAACATAAGGAAAGACAGAAAGAGAAGGTGAAAGAAGGAAAAAAACAAAGAATAACATAAGGAAAGACAGAAAGAGAAGGTGAAAGAAGGAAAAAATAAAGAATAACATAAGGAAAGACTGAAGCGAAAGTGAAAGAAGGAAAAAACAAAGAATAACATAAGGAAAGAGAAGGTGAAAGAAGGAAAAATCAAAGAATAACGTAAGTAAATACAAAAAGAGAAAGTGATAGAATGATAAAAACAAAGAATAACTTAAGAGAAGATGATAGAAGGAAGAAACAAAGAATAATACGAGGAAAGATAGAAAGAAAAATGATAGAATGATAACAACAACAATAACATTAGGAAAGACAGAAAGAGAAAATGATAAAGAATAGACAATGGAAAGATAGAAGAGAAGATGGAAGAAGGAAAAAACAAAGAATATCATAAGAAAAATAGAGAGAGTATAATAGAATAATAAACGAAGAACAAAATAAGAAGTGAAAGAAGGAGAAAATGAATAAGCGCGTCCGGGGCCATTACGTCATCGTGTAGAGAACGTGTGTCAACTTAAAACGAAAAGGGTTATAAGGTAGTGGACAGGACGGGTGTCTGACGTCAATTTGCATCGTTAGAGGACGTGAACGCCGTCCTCGTCCACACAAACGAAAAGCCCCTAATACTAATTTAGAACTTCCCTAAAAAAGGTGGGGCTTGAAAATGTCTTCAAGTGGGAAATTAACGACTAATAGTTGTCGAATCGACTTTAGGGCTATAGAGCCCAAAAGTAATAGTCTTGATTTTCAGACAATTGTACCGAATGGTCATACGTTTTATGCTGCGCGAAGATTCAATCAGTTTAATCTTGGCCATCACAAGAAGTGGGTTATTGATGTAGACAAGTGCTCATGTACCCGTTACAACTCTTTTCATGTATGTTATTACCAAAGAAGAAAAAAAGCCAGTCAGTCACTCAATAGTGTCTGACAGTGAAGTCTAGCAAGTAAACGGGTTTCCTTGCATAATTTGAATATGAGGACACTGCTAACATTTAAATTTCAGAGATAGGACATACATGACATATTCATAATTCCTGCAAAGTTCTACAGAATTTGAGGTTGGCTGCAAAAGGGACATAGTACCTTTAAGTTTTTGATTTTTTTATATAATTTTGAAAGTAGTCCTTAGTCAATGAAAATTGGACTATAGGGTAATCAAGTATCCCCAATCATGTGAGTAGAATTCAGGTCACTAAGTTAAGGTCAAAGGTCATTTTAGGTCAACAAACTTAGACTTTTTTGTGGTATGATCAACATCAAGATTTTGATTTTTTTAAATATTTTCAAAAGTGTTTGTTCAAATTCCATGAAACACGTAAAATTATGTTTGTATGTATAGATTATTATGGATTATTGCGCGAATTAATTTCGGATTTGGGGCAACGTAGTTGGCTACGATGCCCCAAATCCGAAATTAATTCGCGCAATATGAAGATTTTTAACAAAGTTCAACAGGTTTTCGAACGGGCGTCGATGTGCAGCGCTTCTGAATCTAAATTCTCCCAACCATTTTTGAATTTTCCCCAACTGTTTTTCCATGAAAAAAAGACATAAAAATCTGTCAACACTTAAATGTCTGGAATGGAATGTAGAGCCATTTTATTGATTTGTGAGATTTCCATTCACCTAAAATGTAATTAAATTGTAATAATATAGTTGGGAGAATTAAGGAATCGATCGGATCAGTTTTTCCCAATTTGTACCATGAATAATGGTCAGTTTTCGCTCAAATTTTCAGATTATCTTTAATTGTACATCTAGCATTGAAGTCACTACCTTAGCACCACTATCTCTCATCTGAACAATGTTACAAAGTCCCTTTAATATGAAAATAAATGAATCAATTTTTGTTATTTGCTCATGATTCTTAATCAATATTCACTTCAAAGTGCTGATTTTATCAGAGGATTTCATTTTGGGGGGCCTGCTAATGGGACACCCTGCCTATAAATAATGTTCCAACTTCAATTTTTCATCATATCGAATTGCGTAATACAGTCGAGACCGCCGAGAGCGTTTCCCTTGTTTAATTGAACTACACATCAATCAATATTCATTTACAAATTACATTTATTTATCCCCAGAGCTTCGTTTCCAGTATAGCTACTTCAGGATGGGTATCCAGAACAACTCGGACATGACTCAAGCCAAGATCTTCAAATACTCCCTTGATCACCTACGATGCAGGCATCTTATCCTGGAGAGGCTTGGTCTGTATGCTGCACCCAACAACAGAGGGCACTTTGCCATGAAGAATCCTAGTTTGTCAAGGCTCATTGATAGCTCCGAAAGAAGGTTCACAGAGAAGGTGGCTAAGATCAGCATGGAAGAGTATGTAACTTTTACCAAGATGCTCCTAGAGGAGATTGAGGTTGAAAAGACCAACAAAGATCAACATTCATGTAGAGCAATTCTTGATGAATTCACTGATGAAGACAGTCATTATGATGAAGATACTGATGACGATATTGACTCTGACAGTGATTTTGAGCTTTCACAGGATGGTGTCACCGAGACAGAACCATTTAACTTTGACAAAGTCGATTACAGAACGAAAAGGTGATATTATACTGTACTACTAACATTTACATTCTTTTCTGTTTATGTTTGAAAATGCAAAAATATGATAATTTTACTCTCATCGTTTGGTGTTCTGCATTACAGTTTACGATTTTCTAAATATGATTTGGTATTGTAAAATTAGAGAAATGTGAAGAGCAGGAATGTACCTAAATTCAAGAATTCTTCTTAAGAAGAATGAAATCACAGCATATAGATCACTGGAGCAAGATTCACATGATACTACCTACTACATTGGTGTATGTCAGTATGTCAGTAGTATTTCTAAATTACAACCCAAGCACTCGTCATTTTTTCATATTATCTGATATCAGAATGATTAAATCCTCTAGTAATTTATAGCTGTTGGGTGGCTTGTCTCACCCCGTGTCCACACACAACAAATTCATTGTATAACTATCGCGATATGATGTAGTTGTGTGTGTGTGTGTACGCTTACTAACGAAATGTTGTATAACGAAACGCCAGTCTGGGCATCGTTTCGAACTGGAACTCGATTAAGAATCACGGCATGTGCTATGTGTGGACGTAACTAGTATAACTGGTCGAACTAGAACGTGACCTGACCTCTCAGTTCCGCTTCCATCTCATGACCGCAGTAGTAAAACCTATACAACGTTTTTTTAATAGAGTTTTGGGATAAACAATTTTGTGTGTGGACATGCTGTATAATGTGGTTAAATTATAGACATAGAGCCTCAATAACTTTTAAAGGGAAATAATCCAGCCCTCTGAAGGGAAGCAGAAATGTTGCAGAAACAGACTGGACAAAAGGTTTAAACAATTGTTGAATAATTAAAAATCTTTAACAATTTGTGAATTAATTAATTTTGCAAACTGTCCACATGGGAAGTTGAGTACCTATGACAAATGAGTTATTTCTCTTAGCTGTAGTGTCAGACAATGCACCCTATTTTTTCAGGATATAACGTGACTACAGTATAATTGATTTCAACATTCATGTATAGGTAATAATAATATTGGATTCTTATATAGCGCACGTATCGACCTTGCAAGGTCCTCAAGGCGCCCCAACATTTTAAGGAATTCCTTCGTACCGGTACCTATTTAACACCTGGGTGCCGCTGCGGGACTGAAAGGTATCACCTTTTGAATAAAGAACCTACATGTATAGCAGCAGTACTAATGTCCTTTGGCAAAACCTTAATCTACATTTGCCACACTCCACCAACTTTAGGTAGGTTTGGTTTAAAAATCTCGAGGGGGGGGGGGGGCGTGGGGCAGCACCCCCCCCCCCCAAAGTTCCTTAGTGGTAGTTATTGCACATTTTCTTCTTCTTTAAACCCATGGCTGGATTCTATCCTAAATTTGTAAGAATCACCTGCAGGAAAGGTTGTTCACTTTGAATCAAGGATAAATATCTCTTCGAAATGCCTAGTTACTCTCATTTTTTAAATGTCTTATTCTGATAGATATGAAGTGTAGATATGATTTCAGACCAAAATGTTGGTAGGGATTATGGCTATACATTGTAGGAAATTATTTTAATTTTAATTTTTATATCGTATGTTCCTGGTGCAAAGGGGATGGGAGCTATCCAAACTAGGCCCCTAATTGCGAGGCCCCTACTTTTATCAGCTCAGTATTTATAGAATACTGTTATAAAATGTCACTCATTAATTTGCTGCTCTCACTTTTTTGTATTACACTACAAGATTCGAAGGTAATTCTTTGGTCCCAAGGGGTTTGGTTTACATATCATTTTTTTTGTTAAGGTTCTTGTGATATTTTAGATATTGGATTAAAAAAAAAAAAAAGTATTATTTGACAAATTGAAGTTTTGGAATGTTGTATTTTAATTACTTTAGTTGTTGTTCATTTGAGACAAATTCAATATGCAATATTGTTGTATTTAGTGATACCATACATCGATGTTATGATCATCAAATCTCACCAATCCTGTTGCTCTGCTTTAATCCAGAACAACAACAGGCTACAGTTGGGAAAAAAGGCGGCCTCAACCCTCGAGACGGATCACAATGACGTCACAATGCGGGGAATTTGACCTACAACAGCTGGGGGTCCAGTATAACATACGCGCGGCCTATTTATACTTTAAGGTTGCGCTTAAAGGAAAGCTATGCGCGCATAAAGTGATCTTCAGTGATCTTCAGCTTGCTCTTGATGCAGTATCTGATTACTGTAAAAAATCGTTTCTTCAAGTTACCACAGCTAAAACCAAAGTTGTATTCTCTCGTGGTAAAGTTTGAAAAATTCCTATATTCTTGGAACTACTTTTAACTACAACAACAAATTTCGTAAAGCACAAATTATGCAACTTAATCAAGCTAGACGAGCAATGTATAGTCTATTATCTAAAACTTATCAACTGCACTTACCTATTGATATCCTCTTGGAATTATTTAATCAACTTGTGTTGCCTATTCTGCTCTATGGAAGTGAGATATGGGGATTTGAAGTGCTACATGATCTTGAAATTTTCCACATGAAATTTTGTAAGCAAGCCCTTTCTGTCAACAAAACAACTGCAAATTGTATGGTACTTGGTGAATTGGGGGAGGCTTAAACTTGAGAAATATATCGAAAGCAGAATGATAAACTTCTGGTGTAGGATTGTACATAGTGGACAGGATAAATTTTCTGGTAAGGTGTATATTATCTTAAAATTACTCTTTGAGAAGAATATATATCAGGCACCTTAAAAAAATCAAGCTGACTGGACAATATGAGGATGTCTAATTTATGGGAAATATGTGAAAATACTAGCTATGAGTGGGTCAAACAAACTGTGGAACGTCGATTGAGAGATTCTCATGCTCAGTATTGGTCTACTTGGATAATTCGCATTGTGTTAACTATCGAATCTTCAAACATTCTTTATGTTTAGAAAGATACTTAATCGATCACATTAAAAGAGATCGGACAATATTAAGTCTTTTTCGCTCAGGCAATCATTACCTGCCGATTATAGCTGGTAAATATTCAAATACTCCAAGGGAAATAAGGCTATGTACGCTGTGCAATTTGCAATCGCTTGGGGATGAGTTTCATTATTTGTTTGTATGCCCTACCTTTCGTTCAGACAGAAAATTGTTCATTGATAAATATTTCATTGAAAGACCGAATACACTGAAAATGGGTCAGCTTTTTTTAAACTCAATAATGTACAAACGTTTAAACTTAGTAAAATTCTGTCGAAAAATAATGCTTCGTTTTCATTAATTTAAGTATGTGCAAAAACATGTTATGAGTTCAATATTAACTCTATGTCTCTTTTGTCAATTTATTAAATTGATATCAAGAATATTTTCAGTAATTCATTAATTCAGATATCAATTTACTGGTGCCAGTAAATTTCTTTTTCAATTGCTTCCATTAATGTCTTCATTAATTATCGTTTTAATTAATATTATTATCATTATCAATATTGTTATTATCATCATTATTTTGCGCAATGTTTAAAACGATGTGTAGAGCTCTAAAACCTTGCATAAACTGTCCAATTGCACTAAAAGAACCATTTGAGGCGTATTTGTTAGTTTTTCATCACATTTGCAAATATCTTTCTTTAAAAGAACGCTGAGGTCTCGTGAGTGGTATCATTATGTTGCACTCGAGCTTCTCTACCAGTTAGCGTCATCGGTTTATGTTTCTCATCTCTATTTTTTGCGCAATAGTGAAAACGATTTAATCGTTTTCTTTCGATTGCGCAAGAAATAATGATGAGAGAGATAAACCGATGTCAAGAACAGATAGAGAAGCTCAAGCGCAACATAATGATACCTCTTAGAAGTCCATGGCTTTCTTTTTAAGAAAGATATTTGCAAATGTAAAACATGCTTCAAATGGCTCCTTTTATAGCGCAAAATGACAGTATATACGCGATTTAATCGTTTTCTTTTGATTGCGCAAGAAATAATGATGAGAGAGATAAACCGATGTCAAGAACAGATAGAGAAGCTCAAGCGCAACATAATGATACCTCTTAGAAGTCCATGGTATCCTTTTAAGAAAGATATTTGCAAATGTAAAACATGCTTCAAATGGCTCCTTTTATAGCGCAAAATGACAGTATATACGCGATTTAATCGTTTTCTTTGATTGCGCAAGAAATAATGATGAGAGAGATAAACCGATGTCAAGAACAGATAGAGAAGCTCAAGCGCAACATAATGATACCTCTTAGAAGTCCATGGCTTTCTTTTTAAGAAAGATATTTGCAAATGTAAAACATGCTTCAAATGGCTCCTTTTATAGCTCAAAATGACAGTATATACGCGATTTAATCGTTTTCTTTCGATTGCGCAAGAAATAATGATGAGAGAGATAAACCGATGTCAAGAACAGATAGAGAAGCTCAAGCGCAACATAATGATACCTCTTAGAAGTCCATGGCTTTCTTTTTAAGAAAGATATTTGCAAATGTAAAACATGCTTCAAATGGCTCCTTTTATAGCGCAAAATGACAGTATATACGCGATTTAATCGTTTTCTTTCGATTGCGCAAGAAATAATGATGAGAGAGATAAACCGATGTCAAGAACAGATAGAGAAGCTCAAGCGCAACATAATGATACCTCTTAGAAGTCCATGGCTTTCTTTTTAAGAAAGATATTTGCAAATGTAAAACATGCTTCAAATGGCTCCTTTTATAGCGCAAAATGACAGTATATACGCGATTTAATCGTTTTCTTTCGATTGCGCAAGAAATAATGATGAGAGAGATAAACCGATGTCAAGAACAGATAGAGAAGCTCAAGCGCAACATAATGATACCTCTTAGAAGTCCATGGTATCCTTTTTAAGAAAGATATTTGCAAATGTAAAACATGCTTCAAATGGCTCCTTTTATAGCGCAAAATGACAGTATATACGCGATTTAATCGTTTTCTTTTGATTGCGCAAGAAATAATGATGAGAGAGATAAACCGATGTCAAGAACAGATAGAGAAGCTCAAGCGCAACATAATGATACCTCTTAGAAGTCCATGGTATCCTTTTTAAGAAAGATATTTGCAAATGTAAAACATGCTTCAAATGGCTCCTTTTATAGCGCAAAATGACAGTATATACGCGATTTAATCGTTTTCTTTTGATTGCGCAAGAAATAATGATGAGAGAGATAAACCGATGTCAAGAACAGATAGAGAAGCTCAAGCGCAACATAATGATACCTCTTAGAAGTCCATGGTATCCTTTTTAAGAAAGATATTTGCAAATGTAAAACATGCTTCAAATGGCTCCTTTTATAGCGCAAAATGACAGTATATACGCGATTTAATCGTTTTCTTTTGATTGCGCAAGAAATAATGATGAGAGAGATAAACCGATGTCAAGAACAGATAGAGAAGCTCAAGCGCAACATAATGATACCTCTTAGAAGTCCATGGTATCCTTTTTAAGAAAGATATTTGCAAATGTAAAACATGCTTCAAATGGCTCCTTTTATAGCGCAAAATGACAGTATATACGCGATTTAATCGTTTTCTTTTGATTGCGCAAGAAATAATGATGAGAGAGATAAACCGATGTCAAGAACAGATAGAGAAGCTTCAAGCGCAACATAATGATACCTCTTAGAAGTCCGTGGCTTTTTCTTTTTAAGAAAGATATTTGCAAATGTAAAACATGCTTCAAATGGCTCCTTTTATAGCGCAAAATGACAGTATATACGCGATTTAATCGTTTTCTTTTGATTGCGCAAGAAATAATGATGAGAGAGATAAACCGATGTCAAGAACAGATAGAGAAGCTCAAGCGCAACATAATGATACCTCTTAGAAGTCCATGGCTTTCTTTTTAAGAAAGATATTTGCAAATGTAAAACATGCTTCAAATGGCTCCTTTTATAGCGCAAAATGACAGTATATACGCGATTTAATCGTTTTCTTTCGATTGCGCAAGAAATAATGATGAGAGAGATAAACCGATGTCAAGAACAGATAGAGAAGCTCAAGCGCAACATAATGATACCTCTTAGAAGTCCATGGCTTTCTTTTTAAGAAAGATATTTGCAAATGTAAAACATGCTTCAAATGGCTCCTTTTATAGCGCAAAATGACAGTATATACGCGATTTAATCGTTTTCTTTCGATTGCGCAAGAAATAATGATGAGAGAGATAAACCGATGTCAAGAACAGATAGAGAAGCTCAAGCGCAACATAATGATACCTCTTAGAAGTCCATGGCTTTCTTTTTAAGAAAGATATTTGCAAATGTAAAACATGCTTCAAATGGCTCCTTTTATAGCGCAAAATGACAGTATATACGCGATTTAATCGTTTTCTTTTGATTGCGCAAGAAATAATGATGAGAGAGATAAACCGATGTCAAGAACAGATAGAGAAGCTCAAGCGCAACATAATGATACCTCTTAGAAGTCCATGGTATCCTTTTTAAGAAAGATATTTGCAAATGTAAAACATGCTTCAAATGGCTCCTTTTATAGCGCAAAATGACAGTATATACGCGATTTAATCGTTTTCTTTTGATTGCGCAAGAAATAATGATGAGAGAGATAAACCGATGTCAAGAACAGATAGAGAAGCTCAAGCGCAACATAATGATACCTCTTAGAAGTCCATGGCTTCCTTTTTAAGAAAGATATTTGCAAATGTAAAACATGCTTCAAATGGCTCCTTTTATAGCGCAAAATGACAGTATATACGCGATTTAATCGTTTTCTTTTGATTGCGCAAGAAATAATGATGAGAGAGATAAACCGATGTCAAGAACAGATAGAGAAGCTCAAGCGCAACATAATGATACCTCTTAGAAGTCCATGGTATCCTTTTTAAGAAAGATATTTGCAAATGTAAAACATGCTTCAAATGGCTCCTTTTATAGCGCAAAATGACAGTATATACGCGATTTAATCGTTTTCTTTTGATTGCGCAAGAAATAATGATGAGAGAGATAAACCGATGTCAAGAACAGATAGAGAAGCTCAAGCGCAACATAATGATACCTCTTAGAAGTCCATGGCTTTCTTTTTAAGAAAGATATTTGCAAATGTAAAACATGCTTCAAATGGCTCCTTTTATAGCGCAAAATGACAGTATATACGCGATTTAATCGTTTTCTTTCGATTGCGCAAGAAATAATGATGAGAGAGATAAACCGATGTCAAGAACAGATAGAGAAGCTTCAAGCGCAACATAATGATACCTCTTAGAAGTCCATGGTATCCTTTTTAAGAAAGATATTTGCAAATGTAAAACATGCTTCAAATGGCTCCTTTTATAGCGCAAAATGACAGTATATACGCGATTTAATCGTTTTCTTTTGATTGCGCAAGAAATAATGATGAGAGAGATAAACCGATGTCAAGAACAGATAGAGAAGCTCAAGCGCAACATAATGATACCTCTTAGAAGTCCATGGTATCTTTTTAAGAAAGATATTTGCAAGATATTTGCAAATGTAAAACATGCTTCAAATGGCTCCTTTTATAGCGCAAAATGACAGTATATACGCGATTTAATCGTTTTCTTTTGATTGCGCAAGAAATAATGATGAGAGAGATAAACCGATGTCAAGAACAGATAGAGAAGCTCAAGCGCAACATAATGATACCTCTTAGAAGTCCATGGTATCCTTTTTAAGAAAGATATTTGCAAATGTAAAACATGCTTCAAATGGCTCCTTTTATAGCGCAAAATGACAGTATATACGCGATTTAATCGTTTTCTTTTGATTGCGCAAGAAATAATGATGAGAGAGATAAACCGATGTCAAGAACAGATAGAGAAGCTCAAGCGCATCATAATGATACCTCTTAGAAGTCCATGGTATCCTTTTTAAGAAAGATATTTGCAAATGTAAAACATGCTTCAAATGGCTCCTTTTATAGCGCAAAATGACAGTATATACGCGATTTAATCGTTTTCTTTTGATTGCGCAAGAAATAATGATGAGAGAGATAAACCGATGTCAAGAACAGATAGAGAAGCTCAAGCGCAACATAATGATACCTCTTAGAAGTCCATGGTATCCTTTTTAAGAAAGATATTTGCAAATGTAAAACATGCTTCAAATGGCTCCTTTTATAGCGCAAAATGACAGTATATACGCGATTTAATCGTTTTCTTTTGATTGCGCAACAAATAATGATGAGAGAGATAAACCGATGTCAAGAACAGATAGAGAAGCTCAAGCGCAACATAATGATACCTCTTAGAAGTCCATGGCTTTCTTTTTAAGAAAGATATTTGCAAATGTAAAACATGCTTCAAATGGCTCCTTTTATAGCGCAAAATGAC